GGAGGATGTTCGGGGCCGAGGGATGCTCGGGGCCGGGGGATGCTCGGGGCCGAGGGATGCTCTGGGCTGAGGGATGCTCAGAATCGGGAGGATGTTCGGGGCTGAGGGATGCTCGGGGCTGAGGGATGCTCTGGGCCGGTGGGAGCCAGGGGAGTCACGGAACCCTGCTCAGGGAAAAGCCTGCAAAGAACCACCCCCAGCACTGCCAATGCCATCACTAACCATGTCCCCGAGTGCCACATCCACAAACCCCTCCAGGGAAGGGGATTCACCACCGCCCTGGGCAGCTGTGTGTTTCAGCTCTGTTCTTGGGCTTTCACAGGTCAGAAGTTTGATGGGTTCAGCTAACAAAGTCTTCAGAGCAGCAAGTGAGTGTGTTCTTGTTCTTGTTCTAAACCAGAAAAAAACTGCTCCAGGCCAGAACCATTAGGATTTAAAGCCCTCACTCTGTGGCACCACGGAATGTGTGGACTGACCACAGCCTGCACAGCAAAGTAATACAATCAAAGGCACAACAGAATGCTAGAGAAATAAAAGGTTTATTTTCATTAATTCACCTCTTACAGTAAACTTTAGTACAGTGTATTAAGGTCAAGAACATGACAGCAGGGTCTTGTTTCAAAGGGCTACGCATACACACTACTTTACCTCAGAGGTGAGGACAGAGTGCTGCTCCCAGCACCTGCTGCCCCTCCAGCAGTGTCCCAGGAGAGCAGAGCTGCCGTGACCCACCGTGGCACACACCCACGAGGAGGATCTATTAGTGGTCTGCAAACAGCTCGTTAGTTCCACACTGTACATTCATATTAGTAACAGGGTTAGATCCTCAGGAGCACCTGTTTTATCAGACTCCACTCAGGACTCTCAAACAGGAGATGGTTTGGACCCCAACCTAAGGTGCAGAGTGAAAATAAATCCAAGCCACAAACCATTTACTTTGAGCTTTCTCTCCAAAGGCTGTTGTGTGTTACCACATCCTATGACAAGGTGGTGTTAGAGACAATGCAAAAGGTTGTAACTGCTTGGGAGTGGGTTTGTCAGCAGCCACCAGGCCATGCCACAGCACACAAGCTGAGCCAAGAGTTTGAATTTGAGCATTGACTGTAATGGAGAAAAATGCTGTAGCACAGCACAGCACATGCTCAGCACAGTTGTTCAGTTTCCTTCACCTCTGGAGTGCTCTGCTATGTGCAAGGGACTCTTCTTTACACACACAACCTCAGCCTACAACAGAGCAGCCAGGGAGTTACAGAACGTTGTGTGCACACATGGCCCTGGGAGCTGCTGCAGTGACCTCTGAGCGTGTGGCAGGATGTGTCCTGCTCCACCGTGCTCTGAGCAGAAAGTCAGGACATGGCACATGTGTTTTGTGACAGCAACAGGACAGGTGTGGAGATGTGACTGAGGAAACCTGCCCCCAATGTCCTTTCCACCAGTAAGGCCAGCACAGCCTTCTCACTCGTGCTGAGCACACACTGGGATCCTGCTGGCAACTGACGAACCACTAGGAACACACAGAAAGAATTCCCAGGCTTCTGTTCATGGCATCATTTGACAAACACCCAGCGAGCCACAGTGGTCAAGTGCCACAAGGGATTGTTATGGATTCACAGGCTCATGGGTTAAGCCACAGGCAGAGCCACGGATACAATTCTCCCAAGACCTCGTGTGATGGGACGGATCATTTGACCTGTCACAACCCACATCAGTGCCACTTGTATACACTGCAGTCAGGGCTAAAACACCCTCAAACTGCCCCAGAATTGGCAGAGCAAACCTCAGGGCAAGCTGTGCTGCTGCCAGGGCCCAGCAGAGCCATGCAGGGGGAGCACACGGGGCAGCACAGCACACCCAGCACACAGGTACCTGTCCAGGGATGGGGCTGTGCTGGCATTGCCTCTGTGCAGTGGGTTTGGTCATCGACACAGCTTTGTTCATCAGCCCAAAGTGCTCCTGGAAGGGCAACATCAATTCTGCTTAGAAACAGCAAGGCTGCAAGGTCTCTTCTTGCCTCCACGCCACATGCGGCCACAGATTAAATACTTAGCTCCTGTTCCAACTGAACTCATCACCTTAGTGTTTCTCCCTGCAAATCGTACTGGACAACAGACAAGAGGGGTTGGACAGAGCTGTGGTGCTATGAGCTATGACCACCCTCCAAGTGCTTGTTAAACCCCTCCAGCAGCTTGGCAGGGTGGAGGACATGAACTTCTCTCGGTTGCTTCTGTGCAAAGTCTGGGAAAGTATCTTCACATCAGCTCTACAAATCTCTGTTGGATCAGTGGATTTAGCACCAAAGCTGTGAGGCATTTGCACACTTCTATCAGCAACCTGCTGAGGGGCAGCAATTCTGCTCCTGCTCCAGCCACACCTGCAGCAGTTCCCGGGCCCTGCCCACCGCCCTGCAGGAGCTATTTGGTAACATCACCTTCAACTCACCTATCTCCTCCTGCACGAGGCCAGCAGTGCACACCTTCACCTGCCTGACAATCCAACAGGCAAAGAAAACACAACACAGTTACCACAGAGGAGTAAACTGACACAAACTGTTCAGATTTTCAAGGTGCTTTTACCCAAGGCTGGAGACTCTCTTGCAATCAGACAAGTTACTGACACCAAAGTGGCGAGTGAAGAGCAAAGTGGAGCACTAAAGGGTGTACACATCAGAGAAACCCTCACACAGTGAGTGGAGGAAAGACTTACCCCAAGTTTCAGGTCTGCTCTGTGCTGCCTGCTGGAATGGAAATGAGAAGGAGCAGCTCAGAAAGCTAAACAAGGGAAAACACAACAAACCCAAACTGTTTACAGGCTCTTTGCAATGAAATTGCCCACACCAAAACAAATCATCAATGAACCAAGAACAGTAACAGATTCTCCAACAGGGTTTGTCCACACAAATCTCGGAACACCCAGGTTACTCCTCCCATTCCCTTCCCTAAGATCCTGAGTTAGGCTGCATGGGGCAATCTGGAACATTCAAAAGAAGGGAAGGATGGGGAGAAAAGGAGGTAGGAAGGATGCACTGAAACCACTGGCAAACTAAAGGCTTCTTGGACTGGGGAGGAGGAGTGCTCAGTGCAACAGTAACCAAGATGGTCCAAAGGGAATATTCCATGCTCTGTTCCGTGGGAGCAGAGCAGGGAGCGACCCGAAGCCAACCACTTGGATGTAAAACCACCTCAGAGCACCAAAGAGTCTTTAAACCCAGAGAGTGGGGAGGTTCATGTGTTTGGAGACCGAACACTCTCCCCCTGGAGGACACAGTGCCAGGTCGGGATGGAGCAATCCAGCACAGCTGCTGGGAGAGCTCCCGGGACAGCACAGGAAGGCTAAGGGCTCTGATTGTCAGGGGCACGCAGGGCACACCGGGGGCTCTTCCATCCCTTTCCACTAGAACTAAAACCTGTAACATTCGAGGAAGGACCTAGGAGTAGCTCAGGATTCACTCTATTCCTATGGCACAATCCCACTCTCTCTGATCCACCCTGACAGCAGTGTGAGAAGGTCACAATGGTTTTCCCTCCTTGGCTCAGGCTGTTGACCCAAGTTTCCCACAAAGCTGTCAAAAACAGACTCAAACCTTCAGATACACCTGAAAAAAAATCCACTGCCTCAAGTTCTCTCCTTTACAAGTGTCTTGTGTCTCACCAATCATCCACTTGCAAACAAACTCTGCAGCCTCTCCACAACACACAGATACAAAATAGTTAATACACATAGAAACATCCTGAAGTAACTTCATAGAGATTGTGCTTTTGTTTCATACAGAACTATTGCACTCGCCTCCAGCTCGGGAAAGCCAAGTACACCAACACCAATTCTGTGAAGTTTAGTCACTGAGGAGAGAATCAAAAGGAATGTCAAGAGATAAGTGCAAATAAAACAGGTGCTTTGGAGCACACACAAATGTAACCACTAAATTATTAAGACAGAGATCTTTGATTTTCAAGGTAGATGCGTTAGAGACTAACTCTGCAGACAACCTCGGAAACAAAGACCTGAGGAGAAGAGTAACAGTTCCCAGAGACACTTCACAGCCCGATACAGGCTACAGCCTTTCCCTGGGCACCGCTAAGGAATACTGCTGGACTCACAGAGGGCCTCGATTCCCACCTGCCCTCACTGCTGAGCTGAATTTAGTACATGGACGACGCTGGTTTTCTGCATCACACCCAATCCAGACCCTCATGTCTTATAAAGACACACCAAGCCTAACCAAAGGGCTCGGCAGGGGATGCCCCGTGCTCCTCAGAGGGACACCCCAGCACTAGCACTCGATCTGGGAGCGCGGCATTCTCCGTAAGCTCAGCGAGTGTCGGTGCATCTCCTGCATCTGCCTCTCCTGCATCTGCCTGATCCTATCCTTCTGCCACATGAGGTTCTGCGGCATGGGGTACCTCTGTGTTCCCTGCAGGCACCTGAAGGGGATCCTGACGTGGCAGGCCGTGGCCCTGCAGCGCGGCTGCGGCATGGGCGGCAGCAGCATCCAGCGCTTGCGCTCAGCGCAGTAGCGATAGGCCTCCTTGCGGTACTGCTTGTCGATGTCGTCGCTGTTCTTCCACCCCCCGATGATGAACACATCGTCCCTGTAGTAGCAAATCGCTGCTCCCTCGATGCTGAGCACCTCGGGGGGCAAACTCTCCAGGATCTCATCCGAGGCCTGGGCAGAGATCTTCACCTTGGCCTCCTCGTTGTCGATGGGGTAACTCTTGGGGCAGCACGAGGCCGTGTGGTAGAAGTTGGTGTTGGCCACAGACATCTGGAAGGAGCAGTAGTTGTCGACAAGGGGCAGAGACTCCACGTCCTGCCACTGCCTGGTCTCGGTGTCGTACCTGGTGATGACGGCCCGGAGCCCGTCCTCGCTGTCACTGTCCACGGGCGTGCGAGCGGCCACGTACACGAACCTGTCCTCCACCGACACGGCCTTCACGTCCCGCAGGATCTTCGGCGCCGACTCCAGGTTCAGCCACTTGTCCTCCTCAGGGTTGTAAACAGCCACATCCTTAAAGCCGGGGCTGAAGTTGCCGTGCCCACCGATGCTGTACAAGTTGCCTTTCACCTCCGTGAGGCCGAAGGAGTGTTTCCTGGTGATCAGGTTTGACACCTGCTCCCAGATATTCCTGTTGGGATTGTACCTCTCCATGGTCTTGGCAAACCCTGGTTCCATGGAGCCGGCCACGTACACGTACGACTCGGTGACGGCTACAGCGTGCCCGTCCAGGTGGTTGTGGATGTGGGGCAGGTTCACCCACCTGTCCTCGTCGATGAAGTAGCCCACGCACTCGCTCAGGTAGTCACCGCCCTCGGAGACGCCTCCGATCACCATGATGACATCCATGTTCTGCCCGAAGCGCGGCAGCAGCGCCGGGGGGCACGTGGGG